CCCCCCCCCCCCAAAGAAAGTTGATCAAGTGACCAACGTATGGGAGGAACCGGCACAGAACTTTCTGGCATACAAAAACACCCCATCTGCCGAGCCGGAAGGCTCCGTTAGACCGCGGGTTGGCTGGCGCCGACTGTTTTTCTCCGAAGACTACCCGGCAGAGTAACGACCCGAGGAGATCAAAGCCGACAGCAACGGAAGGATACCGAGACAAAATCTTAATTTGTTGACCATCGATTTAGCCCACACATCCAGTACGCTACCAGTGTCTGCCCTTTTCATGGGCAAGTACATCACGCCTCAACTGCGGCACAGTGTGATCAGGCATACCAGAGTCGTGGAAGATTTTGACTTTCACGGTTAGCAATATGCAAGACGGCGACGTAATACAGACGCCAATACATGGTCTTGCCGATAATATTCCGAGCCCCATGCTAGACCAGGAGACGTGCCTGGCCTGACACATGGTGCGGATCGGACCTCGTCCGGGATTGGTCCCATAGAATACGGTGCCACTGTCATCTAATCCTACATGGCAAGTTTCTCTCACGCCAAACCCGTATCTGAGGGGCGCAAAAAAAGTAAAATCCCCTCAGGTCAAAGTCGCCTGTGGGCAATTCCCACTTTATAAGAACTAGACTTGCTCAGATTGAACCCTTCACAAACATGGGTGCTCAGGGAGCATGTTACTAGCTCTTCCGTGCACTATCGGGATCCAGCTGAATCTCCAGGATTTCGGAATTATCATAGCTTATTGCGAGTTCGGATGAAAATCTGGCTTAGCAGAAAGGCTTCCCCGGCTTGCCGGCTCCGAGTGCTGATGTCATGAGACATCGCCACCCGAACCTTCGGGCCAAAACCGAACACCGCAAGCCCCCCAGGTGTGCATTCGGACAATCCATGGGATCTTCACTGAGCCCCATTTTTGCGTTCTTTTTCCTAATCAGGCTGGGCCAAGGATGAAATTGCTAGATCACCATCACGAGTCCCGAATGGCTGAATGGGGAGGAGGGGGGGGGGGAGAGTCATGTCGGATCTCATGTTCAATCCCTCCCTACTAACAGCGCTTTACCAGCCACCGATGTCAGAATACATGGAAACCGAACATGCTCTAGAATTTTGGCTTGGCAGCCTAATCGTACCAACGACATTGAGATTGCTCCTCCGTACTTCGTAGAGTGATCTACGATTAGCCTAGGTATGTTGTAGGCTCTGTGGTCAAGTGGGACTCTCAATGTTCAGTAGAGCCGCCAAGCGCCTTGTTGTCTCCTGCCACTTGCCCATTAACTAAAAACCTGTAACCCATAATGGGCAAAGCTAAACTCAACGCCATGTTCCGCGCAAAGACTCCTGACATCCTCAAAATACCGTTTCCGCACGCCTCGGAATCCCTTCATTCCCCGTCTCCCAGCACATTTCTTCATCGGGGGCAACCTCCATCTGAGGCTTCTGCAGCAAACTGGTCCGCAAACCTGGCAATCGCTGCTCTCTGTCACCAAAAACAGCGCCTTGGCTGTCCCCTCGGCACTAGACGGCGGAATCTTGCTCCGAGCTGGATTAGACTCCATATCAGCAGTGGAGTCTAAAGGATTGCGCACTGACATTTTCAATTTCTTCGAGGCCACAAACTCAACCAAAATCCCAAACCAAGTCTACGCCTCCAATTTTTTTGGGATATCGTCCCCATCTATTGATAGGAGGCACTATGTAGATCATGCAGCATCTAAAGTTCAGGATTGGAATCCTTTTTTACAATGGAACAATTGAATATGGAACTTCAAATATAGCACCAGGAAGAAAGTTTCCAAGTGTCTAATCTTTCATACCTGGAATTGAAGCTAGATGCTACTCTCCTATCCCTGTGAAGACAGCAATTTTTTTCATACATTTAGATTAGATCAGAAAGAAACACACTTCTCTTAGACTACTTTAGCTAGAGGCGATCTAAATTGCTATGCTATGTCGTGATACGGCAAGATATAGTTTCTATATCGAAGCTGGTAATCTATATCGAAGCTGGTAATGAGGATTTCAAGCTATATGGAAGACGCTAATCTCGGTTCCGTAGGTATACAACATACAAGATTCTTAGCATTACAAGTGTCCTATAGCGCATGCTGTATGCATAATGCCAGGTTAGGGTTAGCGTTGCGGGTTAGCGTTGAAAGAACCATCTGCCACGTTAATCACTCGGAAGTAACTGGTATGATCAAGAGGGCCGACATATCAACATGAAAGGGCTATGGGGAAAGACAATTCTGGTAGGCAACCCACCGCATCGGACACTTTCCTCAGCTAAGGCTCAGTTAATGGTGAAAAATACTAGGGTGTGATGATGAAAGTCTTGGCTGGTGAGCGCTGATCAGTTGTTGATTGGCGGAACATATGGCGCGCGCGTAGGGAAATGAGATGCAAAGCCACGTGTCTTTCGGACAGGACTCGATGGCCCAATAAAATGAGTAGCCATGGAGGAAGGGAGGAGGGGTTCTTTTTTTTTGTACAGAGATGGCTGAAAGGAGAGGTATCACACCGCCTATCGCATGCCCGACTATGCCTGCTGAGTATATTGTAATTACTGGGTTAGAATAACATGGGACTGTGCAGCGTGTAAATTTTGGGGTAAAAATCTTTGCAAATCGCTTGAAAAAAAATACAACATAGGAATAGGACCAAGGTAGGAGTGAAGGTGTAAAATCTTGATACTATCAATCTCTTTAATCTCGTCACGACTGGGATAGAAAGCCGTGTTTATGTTATAAATTTCTCTTCCACCCTTGTAGATTTATTAAACCACTCATCTCATTCGTTTGTCAGACAAGCAAAAAGAAAGCCCGGCACCGCTTAGATCTACCAGATTCCATTGGCTGAGCGCGGCCCGAATTTAATTCCATGCTATCCTGTGATGCAACATACTGCAATTTGCATACAGAAATGGACGACGATGATGTTATAAGATAATTACCTGAACCATAAGGCTCCATTCAAGGACAGATCCCATTTGTAGTTAGTTAGTTAGCTTGCTTCCCTCCCCTCTTTCTACTGTCTGTCTCTTTGCTCCAGAGTCTATTACACTGTGAATCTAAATGGATGTAAAACTAAATCCACAGCACTGGGCTCGATTCCGTAGGAGTACAGGATCCGTGTCGTGCAAGAGCTGTGTGGCGTATGCAAAGTGCTAAATTGGTGTCGGCATTGAAAGAATCCCAATGCTATGTTAATTACTCGGAACTGGGAACTCGAAGTTATAACAAACCGTCGATAGAAATTTAGACTTATAATCAGGCACTCCGTACACATGTACATACCTAGAAATCGAACCAGATGAGCTGAATTCGATTTTACTCGTAGAAAACCCAGGTTTAGCTCTTCGTGTATTTATTTAACTATTCCGGATCTGAAACATCTCCATGTCAAAATCACTCCAACATATATCGCTCCTGTTAGTATTGATCTTTCTTATTCAAGAACGCTACTCCGAACACATGTGTTTGTTCTAGGGCCATGAAACACACAATCATGCATGAAGTCCCACTAATGCATGTGTTAAGCGCTGGGTTTGGGGGTATTCATTTTTAGAAATTTTGCCTGTTCAGCCAGCTGACTTCGTAGGATTTGTAAAACACCTATGATGTACTGTCGAGGTTGAGAGTAGATAAAACCGATTTCGTTTCTTCTCTGGACGCTTTACCACGTTAATAACACCATAAGCTTCTTATACTAAGACTTTGCATATTCCTAATCTTTGCCAGTGAATGCTACAACGCCTGACAATAGCAGCAATAACCGCTCCTCCAGATTCTCAAACACCCTTTCCCAGCGTACTAGTATACGCAGACACATCTGATCAACTTCAAATGAGCAATTCGACAGAGAGTCAATTTCGACATGGCTGGGCTCAGTCGAGCGACCAAAGAGGTACTATGGACGTTCTTTGGTCTTGTGGCATGACGATACTTCTTTGTTGCTGGATATCTGTCTATCCCAACGTTGGCTCACCGAGCGACAAATTATATCATAACATATGCGATAGATTCAACATGTTTTGTATCGCTCTCCTCGGTCCCGATTTTATACTTGGAATTGCACTTGGCCAGTGGTCCCATGCAAAAGAAAGTGTCAAGGTATGTGAAGTGGCAGCGCTCCGAGAGAGTCTAAGCTGTTTTCTATCAATATCTTCCGCTCACACAAGTGCTCAAATCAGCAATTCGAATATGACCCACCGTTCGACAGCAACTTCAAATGGACACAGATGCATGCTTTCTTCGTCAATGCTGGAGGTATACATTTGAAAAGCCCAGATTTTCCTCAAGGATTTCCTATCGACGCTCGTCAGCTGCATTATCTATTGAAGCACAAATTTGTTGCGTCGCTGGACATGGAGAGTATGCATATATCTGAACGGAATTCTGTTCATGTTTTCTCTCGGTAGGTTGATGAATCTTGAACCTCGCGTGCACAACTCGATAAGCTGACCATTGAAGTGTGATAACGTTTGCTCAAACGCTTTGGTTTTTTTTATATGCATCATCCAACGAGTTTGCTCAGGTCTTCCGTTGACAACGTTGGAATTGACAACCTCTTCATTTGCATTCTTAACGTTTGCGACATCTGCCGCCTGGTATCAGAAACCTTGCATCATTCGACCTCGGTATATTTCTACTGAAGATTCTCAGACGGTACAAAACATTCGAGATTTTTCACGGCTACATGTGAGTGAAATTGTTCCTCTAATAGTAGGAAGCACAATTTCGTGTGCGCTATACGCCATATGTCGGCTTTATATCTATATCGAAGATTTTATCTCCCTTCGGAAGCAACCATCTGGTGTTTACATCAACGCGAGGCTTCTTCCCTGGGCTTTTGGATCGCAGTTTTGGGATTCCTTACTTACAAGACTTGGATGCGATGCAGTTTCATGATTTCTAAGCTCATAATAGTTTGATGGCTATGGCGTGGCTCGGGATTTATGTTCACCTAGATAGTTCTGCTGGCTGTTGAAAAATGTGCTACATGAACCCTCGCAAGCGAGAGTCCGCCACCCATGTGAAACATACGGCACTTTTTTTATATGCTTCACACCTTAATTACTATTTACTACCCTACCCTATTCTAAAATAAGTAATTGAAAATAACAAAGAAATCGATCAGCCATTCTTGTGCTGCTGGAATTTTAAGTCACATTTGAATAGCGGAATTTATGATGACGGCATCGGATCTTCCAACGAGTCATTCTGGTGATAGTCTTGCTGCGCACTAAATCAGACACACCCGCGGAGCCGATATGTTGGAGATTCGCATCCTTTAGGGTAGTCAAGGCATACCGAGATCTGCATTTCTTTAGGACCTTCTTCGTCTCATCATTGCATCTAGGCTTTGAAGCCGAAATAGCCACATACCGCCAGTGTTGGCGACCCCGGTAAGACTCGACTCCTGCGACAGTATTGATGAAAAAGGATTCTAAACCAAAAAAGGAAACAACAAGCAAAGGAATGTAAGCGAGCAGATAGAAAAATCGCGTCATTGGCTTGATGTGGGGAGAATAATCCCGGACGACGACATCAGTGAAACCAGCATCTTCGAGCATTTGCTGAAAGACTCCAGGTTGCGACAGGGTGTTAGTCGGCATAGCGGCGACTTCGTTGATCTTTTTCATGGATAAAGCCGATGCTTCGTCGGCATTCTCGATTGAATCGTGATCATATTCGAACAGTGCAAGGCGTCCACCAGGACGTAGGACCCGAAAGAAATTGCGTAGGACATTCTGAGGATGTGTGGCGTGGACAAAGGTTTCCATGGTGTAGACGCCGTCGAAGGTCCCATTCTCAAAGCTGTCTAAATGGTGATAATCCATTTTCCGCACCGAGACCTGTTCCCCAGAGAGACCAGAGCGCGCAATGTTCCGCCTCGCTTTGACAATGTGATGATCGACGATGTCGATTCCTTGGACTTTTAACCCATGCTTGGCTGCTAAATGAATTGCAACATGAGAGACGCCACACCCAGCATCAAGAACATAAGCGCCTCGTTCAAGTTCAAGTGAAGCCGCTAGCTTATCCTCCATAGTGCGGAGCGCGCGGCTCAGGGGGAATGGCCACCAAGTATCATGTTCGTAGTATCCAAAATGGCGCGTTCCGCCAAGGATAATGCGGTATCCAATTCTTGATTCCAGGGAATGATAGTAAGATTGCAACATCGGGTTGTTGTCGATCAACGGCTGTTCATCTTCGGCCGGTAGCATTTTATGGTTGACCTGGAAAGGGAACAGGATTTTTAGAGAACAGATCTTCCTGATGTTATAAAAAGTGATTTTGGAGTTGAAGCTTTAGGAAGCGAGCCCATACGGAGGTATATTCTAGAAAGAGAAAGATGCGAAAGTGACAGTTGTCATTCCAAAATTAGCGGGTGATTGGGGCTGGGACGGAGTCCATGTAATACACACACAAATTGGCCCCTCATTTTTCTCATTGCCCAGTTCTCCTTTATGTGATCATCCGAGTCTGGAACCGGTCCCTGACGTTGCAGATCTTCTTTAAGATGTCGTGTGTGATAGGTCAAATCGACGGGGATGCGTGGCCTGAGCCTCCTGCTGAGAGAAAATCGAAGCTATGATAACTCTCTTCCCACGTTTTTCTTTTAAAAAATCTACTATCTCTTTTCTTTCGCCATGATTTCGCACATCTAGAATCCGATTTTGCACGATCGGAGTCCAAAGTATGTTGATATTCCAAGAGACCCATATCGGGCCCTCCCGTCATCGTATCCTCTTTGCCGCCAGCCCCCCTCATTTTGATCTGAACTCGGGCGCCTACACAGAAAATGTGATTGGTGATCACATCCCCCATCCCACCCCCGTTTCTCATTTTTGTTTTAATTTTGACTTTCATTTTTCTAATGTACTCAGTACTCCGTACTTATCTCTGTTTTTTTTTCGTCAAAAAAACTCAGGCGGTAACCACGAGCCACTATCAACCATCTACTCTCAAATCACAACTCAAGACATTCAACGTTCTACTTACAGTCAACTGCAATTCAAAACATGGCAACCTCGGAAACTCAGCCCAAGATCAACCAAAACCCGGCTCTACAGTCCTACTATGCCTCCCTAGAATCTAGGATTGGGTACCGGCTCATTTTAGGCGGCACTCGCCATTTTGGGTACTACGAGCCTGGCAGCTGGTGGCCTTTCCCCATCAATGCAGCGCTTCGTAGGATGGAAGACCATCTCTTCAAAAGCTTGGATTTACCCGCCGGTGCGACTGTTCTTGATGCGGGTTGCGGTAGCGGCCACGTCGCAATCCATATGGCTAACCGGAAGCTGAACGTTAGGGCCATCGATGTGACCGAGCGACACGTAGCCAGAGCTCAGAAAAATATCGTTGCAGCTGGGCTCGAAAAGGTGGTCACGGCCCAGCTAGGAGATTACCATCACCTGGAAAAATTCCCAACCGAATCTCTAGATGGAGTGTACACCATAGAGACACTAGTGCATGCAACCGACCCGAAAGCAGTGGTCGAGGGATTTGTGCGCATCTTAAAACCGGGAGGCTCCCTTGCTCTATATGAATATGCACATCTGACCCCGACGGACGCGCCTGAGGCAACTAAACTTTTCGCACAAGTCAACAAGTATGCAGCTATGCCCGCCAACGCGGAGTTTGAAGCAGATGCCCTACTGTTGCTGCTGAAGGAAGTCGGTTTTACAAATATCACGCTGACCGATCTCTCGGAAAATGTGAAACCGATGCTGCGCCTTTTCTATATTCTTGCATACATCCCTTACCTCATCATCAGGGCATTCGGCCTCGAGAAACATTTTGTCAATGCTGTGGCTGCGATTGTGGGGTATCGATACTACGATATCCACCGCTACGTGGCCATTCGGGCTACAAAGCCGACAAGCGGAGATGAACATCCCGTGGAGCCGAAGAAAGTTCAATAAGTGAGCCGCCACTTGGCACTCCTTCAATTTTATGTTTATAAGCACGAATGCGCAAGGTTGGCCCTGTGTTTTTGTTGCGACAAACGGTGAAATGGTTCAATGTTTGTTAAATCATGGACAACTCCACGGAGGGCTATTCTGTTTTGGGTCGGCTCTGCGAAGTGCTTGAGTTATATGAGTTGTTATGCTATTGAGCCATTCATCTCAGGCAAACGACTGGTTGTCACACAAAAGACCAAAATTTTATACAGTTGACGGTGTTGTGCGCACTTACTGGGAGCGATCGAAGTCGGAGGTTATTCCTCGAGAAAGATGTCCGCACGGGCATACATCAACAAAACAACCTTTACGGAACATGAAGATTTAGACCTCGCTCGATTGAACTTTTTCTTTTACACACGCGCCTTGCCTTGCCTGTCGCTTGAAATTGATCCACGCAGAGCCTGGGGGCAATGCTTCTCCAGCGACGACATTTCCGCCCTTTCGGCCTTTAGGAAACGGCTGAATTTGTGTAGAACGTATCGAGGATTCAAACTGTTCAACTCACCAGAAAACACATGCGTAAACTAAAACTGTGGTTGATAAGATTTAACCGTAGATGCTGCTTAGAACGGTCAGGAATTTACAATTTTCGCCACAATTCAAGATAGATTCATAAATGACGGTCAATTTGGGACATTGTTTATCCAAACATGGAACGGTCGTAGAGCAGGGTGTTTTGAAAGCGATCAACGGTAATAGCCAATCGCAGCGATGCACACATCCACGCAGATTGAAAACTAACTGGAAATTTTGATTGACCGTGATGAGTCGCAGCATCCCGCCGACCCTGTTCTTGTCGGCCATCACCTGTTCAGCGACTCTTGGGTTTTTTTGCTTATCCATTCACGGTCAAATAAAGAAGTAGCTTTGTAACTTCGAGAGAAACATGATCAAGTTGAAACTATATATGTAAGCTGTTGGATTTCCATTCGGCTCTAGTTAACTAACATCCATCCCAGTGCCAGAGCCAAGTGTTCTCGGTTTGGGAATCAAACAGCAGATCTCATCTTCTTGTATCCTCATGGCAGTGATTAAGCCACTGCGTCGTCCATACGACCACATCGTCCATGAAGCGGGAAAGCAAATTCCGAACTGGAAGTAGAAAAGCAGGCAAATGGGAGAATATCAACCCTTCGTGTGATAGCTGCCCTTGTAACAGGAACAATGAGGACGATCGATGTGCGTGCCAGCATGTCGGGTTCACGTGCAGGTAGTCGGCAATGCCCTCAAATCGGTCGACGGTCGCCGTTAACCTCTGCAGTAGGTAGCCACAGGCATGGGACTGGGATACTGCTGAAGAATTCTCAGTAAGCCGAATAAGGAAATCCCGCACGTGTGAGCTCGGAAAGGGAACTTGAGGAGAGCATGACGAGCTTGTTTGTGATTTCAAATTGCCGAGACGAAAGGCTACAAAGAAGGAAGAGAGGTGTGTTGTGTGTTAAAGGGGATGAATTCCCAGACCCATTTGTTTGCTACATTGGAATCCTAGGCATCTGCCAAGCAACCACACACCTATCTTAACACAAATTAAGGGGGCCCAGATCCAACAACTGAACTCATTGTGTTTACATTGAGAGAGCAGGTGCAACTATCCTCCACCAACGAGAATGTGGATACCGGCCAAGAACTAAATTCCAAGATATTCGAAACCAAAACTGCAATTAGGAAGCTCACTTTAGTGCCTATGTTGCAGGTTGCTGACCCCCTATATGTGCGGGCGAACTCTTGGCCGGTTGAATCCGCTTTTCTGACACCTTGAACGAAACATGTGCATAAGCCAGACACTCCGATCGCAACACTCAACGAGTGGTAGTCTCCGCAGGTGGCAACACTCACTAGCGGAGAAAGTGGCGACCGACATTTTAACTAAAAAGCCTATAAGAAGGCTTATAGGGGGGACCTGGGAGGACTAGCTAGCCTCTTCGGTCTCAGCTACGCCACAAGAGATCTTTGCACCGACTCATTTCAGCAAAGCAAACGAGGTATGTTGTACAGTCAACCCCCGTTCATTTCAAAAAGATATTGAAGAGCAAATTCTTGGAAATCAACGAGTTCTCTGAGTAAGTGAAGGTCTTGGTGTTTCAGGTTATATAATGTACTACGGAGGGGGGGGGTTTCAACCCGGCAGAATATTCGCTTTCAAGGCGGAAGATTGGGGGGGGGGAAGCCAAGAAAAGTGAACCCAGTCACGTGGGCGGTAGGATTGCAGACTTGGAAGACCAAGGGGGACTAGAGCCCAACTAGGCGGTCTTGGAGCTCTTAACTTGCATTTGCAAGTTGAACGGAGTATGTTGTAGTTAATTAAGCTTTGGGAGCCCAAATTCTTTGAAAGTGATCGGGGTTTGCAAAAGGTGGGGTCGAATTTTACGGGGTTTGCCTGTGTGTAAATCCCTTCCATGTTGTACATTAGGCAATTTGTGACCTTGTTTGGGTAAATTTTAGTTCTCGCTAAACCAGCTCTACTGGTTGTAGAGAGCAGTAGATCGGTGATTTAATTCGACTTTAGGACACAGGTTGGGGTTCAAAGATTCTCTATCCAAGCATCTTAATATGTTTGGTATAACAATGGTCTCTAGTCTCAAACAACCTCGGCCTCCATCTAAAACCAGGTCATCAAAATTAGGCCCTATAACGGCTAGGCTATTATTGTCTGAAACGTCCAAAAATTTACCGAAGAGATAACACATAGTGCCTGTAAAATAAAGCGGACACGGGATTCTTACCCAATTCTTCAATAAAAAAGTCGCCCCCCAAATCGCACAGCCATCATAGTGTCCAAGGGGCAGCCACTAGCGGTAATCCCTCGGATTGGATATACGCTAGTCCACAGCGGAATAAGCACAAACCGGTGGGGCTACGACTCAGCGGTTCATCGCCTTTGAGAAATATGATTTGTTAGAACAGTTACCAATGGGGATTCTCTGCCTCCACTGGACCGAGGTTCGGTGAACCATACTTTGTCGACCGAAATGACTTGCACTTTTCCAGAAATGTGCCTTTGTGAATTTTTATTCTACCAAAACAGACAAGTGCGAACGGCTTTAGGGGGTGAGTTTCATTTTGACTGATTTTACATGTTTTTTTTTCCATCTCGAAGACGCCATATTTGCGCACAGTCTATTTTTGTATCTTAGCTCCGGGATCATTCCGTAACCTCGGCTGACTTCCGTTGCTCCCTTAGGGGCTACTAGAGAGAGGGAATTGACTCGCTACGATTTTACATGGATTGAGAGTGTATATAGATGCAATACAATCTATCCATCACATCTGACAAAACCTGGCCAAATCGAATCAAACCCCCGATGATGAAACCAGTAGCACAAGTCGCCCGTGAGTAAATGCGGTGTTTTGCGTAGAAGCCAGCACCCAACTCCCAAGGTGTAGGATCGCCGTATTAATGTTGGTAACCAAAAAGAAGACGCCGCTAGACAGAGAATCAAGAAAAGAAACAGGAAAAAAAAGGATCGCTAGATATAAGAACCCCGACTCCCAAATAGGGCGCTAACGGACGCCATGTCACCCACCAGATGTGATAGTGCATAGAGTCAGAGGCGAAAGAAGAACCGTTTTAGAGAATCCTCTTCATCCCCGCGCACTCCGCGGCCGTGAGTTCTGCGAGGATGAGTCGTGCATGTTATCCGGCGCTCGGGGACCAACCATCCAGTCCTCCATCGCAAGCCATTCACTCCAGCTGCGTTCGGCAGCCTCGATCTCGGCATCGAGGGCCCCCTGCAGGGGACGCAGGAACGGGATAGTCTCCAGCGGGGGAATGTCGTAGTCCTTTTTCACAGAGGCCCAGCCGCCGCTCTTTGCGGCGAAGAGGTAATTGCGGCGTTCTTGCTCGTGCATGGGTCCCACACCACTTCCCCAGTCGTCACCGAAAAAACCATGCAGCACGCCTGGAAAGTCCATGCCTGTTGCGACTAGACGACGGATGTAGGGGATCAATGAGATGGAGGGTGGGCCTGGGGATTGTGTGCCGGGTGTTGGGATGTGGTTGGTAGAGGAAGATGAGGATGGTGATGTTGAGTTGAAGATTGGGTTCGGTTGGCGCTGGAAAGGGAGTCGGATGTTTAAGAAAGTGGAGAGGGCCTGGACGGGGACGCTGTGCTGCGCGTGATCTAGGAAGTAACTTTGACAGCTTTGATAGTGGGGGTACCATTCAAAGATGTCGAAGTTGTCGTCTGATCTTCCTGGTGAGGCACCAGATAGACCGATCATGGTGGCCGGGTCGAATTGCGGATGGGAGTTCATGGATGAATGTGGTGAAGGTGAGGGCGAATTGGATGTTGAGATTGAACTTGAGGTTTGTAGTCTTGGAGGATCTACTTGTCTGTTTTTTCGGATGCTTCTCTTAGTTCGTGTTCTGTCTCTCTTTTTGCTGGTCTCTTCGGGGCTGCGCCTCTTTTCCCGAGTTCTGGAAACCCAGTGGGGTCAAATTGCGGCCTCAATTTGAGTGAACTGGAGGGGTAGGTGTGATGAAAGGCAGACAGGGAAGGGATTGTTACTTGGAAAAAATATCCCTACCTCGACGGACTAGGAGAGATACTCGACGTCGTGAAGGGGAAGTCGTGGAGGGTGGTGCAGAGCGGAACAGATCCCTGATGATCCCGAGTCCGCCTCGAGGTTGGGGCTTGTTGATGGACATCTATTAGGGAACCATCTAGGTTCTTCAGGTGAGAGAGTTGGGGGCGAGGGGGGGCGGTGTTTAACATGAAATACCCATTTGGGCTGTAATGAATGAAGAAAAAGAACTGTAGACATACATGTGAGGTCCAAATTCCCAAAGAAGCAGGGAGAAGAAGAAATAGAAAGGTAAGAAAAGAGGGAAATTGAAGTAAACTCGGACTCTAAGAAAAAAATAGATATCAAAATTGTTCTGGAACGTCCATAGAAGAGAGATGGGGTTTCAAAGACTAATAAGAGACAGAAGTCAACGTGTTTACGGAGTATTTTCT